ATGAACAAATTAGCATTGTCCATGTGAGCATGTGAGCATGCTGCCATCAGCGTTTAGCTCAAAGTGCTGTTGTGAAGCTGCTGGATTGTGTCAGTTTGATGTCATATTTTGCTGCTATTGAGTAATTCTTTTTGGAGTAATTGATTGTTTCAACGGAATCTAAAGTTCACTGTTGAAGCTGGGTCACCATAAGACAAGAATGTGGCACAAGCAATTACATTTCTTTTTAACTGTTTTGATGTGTAGTTCAGATTTTGGAGTGAAATTTGACAGTTTGACTATGTAGACAGTTAGGCTGTCTTACTTGGGGCTTCTTGAACTGCATGTAATAAACATGTGTGATGATGGTTTCTCATTTACAGAAGTGTTACTGACAAACAAACGTTATTGTCATCTTGACTCTGAAACATCCCGAATGTGAGGAAAACATATGGTCACAGCCATCAGAACTTTCCATTTAAGTTAAAGGTACCAGAACGGCATGTCATTACTATTTCTGATATATGACCAACTTGTCAAAACAACCCATGTTGGGATCATTTATAGAGGAAGCAAATTGGAAAATTTCAGTCTCCACTGGAGCGCTGCCTCAGTTGAATAGTCATGAATCATCAGTGTGAAGACAGAAGGTGTCCTGAAGAGAGAGAGGGTGAGTGAGATGTGACGACATTTTTGGAACTGTCGGAGTGCGACAAGGTGAAGAAACGGAGACGAGTCTCTGAGCTGTTGGCTGTGCAGGAGACACCTGCAGTGGACTGCTTTGACTTAGCATGGCAGTCTGCAGGGCCGAGCACGCCCTGTACTCAGAGTTTGACCTTGTTACTTGTGAACGCCTCCTATCTTCATTTGCCTCAACAGATCCTGCTCGTAATATGGGAATTTTAAGTCTGTGACATTTTCGTATAAAAGTAGGGCAAATGGCAAAACATCTGTACACACCCATCCAAGCAGCGACTACCACTTTGGCACTGGACTTAGCATAGAGTGCCTGCAAAAGATGGACGTAGCCTTTGGGAAAAGTGAAACCAGTGTGAAAGTGACTGAAACTCTGATTCTTCCTAATGGCCAGCAGGTGGGTAACTGTGCTGGTCACAGAAATAAGACAGATTGCATAGAAGTCTGAGAACATGACCGTACTTCTTCCCTGATTTGTTACCTGAGTATTCATTTCTCTGATCAGTTAATAGTCTCAATTAATAGTTTCGAGTCTCCTAAAATACAACTTATTGTTCATCTAGTAAATTATGAACCTATTTAGAGTTAAATAGACAAAAACGAAGGGTTAGTTGTAGGGTGTGGCTACCTTGTGATTGACAAGTCGCTAGGGCATGGGCATGCCTGAGTTAAGATAAAAACTTTATTTATCCCAAAGGAAATTCTTCAAAGGTCTTAGTCAAATACACCCATCGTTCATCATGTTCCATTTCCAAAGATATCGACAGCCAATGTCCACATTTGAGTCTTCAAAATCATAGTCCACAAACCAGTAGGTGATGTCTTGGTGACAACACCCATTCTTATTCACAGCCTATGGTACTTAGGCACAGCAGTACTTTAAATAAGTGCTAACATCAGCATGCTAAGCTGATAGTTAGCATCAACAGTGTTTGCCATGTTCACCATCTTAGCATGTTACTGTGCTAAGATTTGCATGAATTTGTACATTTTGAGTTTAAACCTCTGTTACAAAACTAATGGAAAGATTTTGACCTGTTTAGTAGTGTGACAGGAAAAGTCAGAGGATTATTAAAGTCATTGACCTAGTGAGCATGACATTTCCCATTGATTTGTGGGCTACCATTAGAAGCCTCACGTTTGGAATTTGACTATCGCCATATGGTCTTTTGAAACTGGATATGACAAGCGAGGGGTGGATCTTGCTGAGAACTCAAGGACACTACACCTGTTGATATGGTAGCAACTTGTGGGGCTACAATGTAGACTCACTCTAAAACATGTTCTGCTTTATCATCTATTTTGTTCTAAATGGGACCAACAAGAGACTTAAAACTAGCAACTGAGACTAGAAGCTTATTTAGAGAATGTTTACTGAGGCAATAAATCAAGAGAGAAGTGATATGATTTTCTCATAGACTTCTATACAATTTGACTCTGTTTTGCACCCTGAGGAGCTGCCCCTGCTGGCCATTAGAAGCAATGCGGGTTAAGAGGACTTCAATATTGGCTTCATCTTTCAGACCTGGAGGCTACATACATCTTCTACATGCAGTCTGTGTTGTTGGGACAAAAGTGGTAGACCGGCTGCCTGCGAAATCGCTGGAGTGGCTCAAAATCATTGCTGTGGCTATCTTTAAAAGCAGAACAAGATTTTTTTTTCTTGCCTATGCACAAGACACTGAAAAATAAATCATAAATACTCATATCACTTGATTATATATTATCCCAGATCAACAATAGCTGATCTTACTGGCATAAGCTTTTTTTCGTGGTAAGCTGTTACTGCTTACGGCTTTTGTTAAGTGAGCAAATCCACAAAACATTTAGGCAGATCTCCAAATCTGATGTTGTCTGTCATATACTTAACCCCAATAAAAGCTCCACGGGTGGCCATGACCTTAATAAGAATGGCTGCTGTGTGCTCCCCACTTCCAGGTTCACGTGCCACAACAAAGGGATATTATTTGAGTGCAGCAGCAGATTAAGGGTGATGTGGTCAACAAATGAGCTTTTGTCAAAGCCAGACGTTTCTTCACAGAGTAATATGCTCCAGATAAACTCCAACATGGTCATTACAGGAGGCTGTAACTCGTGTCAAAGTTCTTCACCTAAAGCTAAAGAGCGACTCAGCATCTTGTTCTTGCATCTTCGGTTCGCCAATGTGTGAAGATTTCTCATCACTTTCATTTTCATTCTCCTTTCGTCGGTGTTAGGTAGAGAGCGATTTGCAAGTATCATTTTTAATCTGTTTATTTTTGGAGAACTCGTTTACAGGTTTGTTGCGTATGTTTTCTTGCCATAAATCACTGCAGAGTGAACAGAAAAGTAATAAGGAAAATTCTGCCCATTTTTATAAGGATCCATCCTGCTGAGCGGTCTGTCCGCCCCCTGTTGTTTCAAGCCTGACTTTTGCACAAGTTGGATGATTTTAATCTCCTCAAAAGTAATCCTTGTTTGAATTTGAGGGATTACTAAAAGAGCTCAGCAGATAAAGAAGAGCAACTCTGATTTGAGTGTCTGTCTATCAGAAAACATATAATGGAGAGAGATGCATAAAGTCAAAGCAAAAGACAGACAGTTCCACAAAGGCAGAAAGAAATAAGTTTAACCTCTGAACACGGATTCTTCCAGTGGTGGGAGTCAAGGAGAAGGGCTACATCGGCCTTTGCCTTATCTGAGGTACAGTCATGCAAAACCAGCCAGATAGTGTCAGCATTTGCAGAATAAAGCGTCAGGACTCTGTCAGACCCAGCGAGCAGGATGCAGCCTCAAGCATCCTGTGCCTGCTTGCTAACTGTCATCACATTTCTTCTTGCTAACAGTCAAAACATCTGACAAATTCTCACATTGCCACGGCAAGCAAAGAACTGGAGACTAATAATTAATGTTATCTTCTTCCCCGCAGGTGTAAATAGTGGTTTTGTGTCATGCGTGACCTTCATTTGTGTCCCCCCTCCTCCCCTTGTAAGGAAAAGATATTAATAATTTTGATTGTGTGTTCTGAGCGGAGCAGAAGGGACAGCTAGTCTCTGTGTGGTTTCGAACTCTTAAAGTAAAATTAGTTGACTCCAGTCCATGGTCCTTTTCACCCTTTTCCAAGGCCAAAAAGAGATTACATGAATGGCTGAGTTTGGTTGTGCTCAGGTCTTTGCCTTTCTACATAATCCCCTGTAATTCTCTTTGTGGTGGACGCTCTCACTTGTCATTCATTGTTTGATGGCTGCAACGTGGCCCTGAGAAGAGAGAGAAAAGGAAACTCAAGAAAACACAGCAGGAAACTTTAATGACATTTGATATATAGTACGGAATATTTTTCAGAGATAAACTACTCAAAACGCATGCGATTCCTATACATTGTAATACACTTTTTGCTGTGAAATATTATTTTTTCTACATTTTCAGAAGGTGTCGAGTGAATATTGAATTTGATATTTAGCAGTTTTCCAGTAATCTATATTAGTTTTTTTTGTAAACATTTCCTGATCACAAAAATTAAAAATGTGCTTCTTTGGCTCTGCTGCAGCCACCTGTGTCTGTGGCCTCCACCAACCGAATCTGATCAGTTACGCATCATGACCTTTGTGGTATTTTAAATTTAAGATTTTCCTTTTTTCTGCCAATGTGTATCGGTTCCAAAAGTTCTTGGTATCCTTGATTCCAAACAATCAGTATTGGCTATAAAACAAACAACAACAAAAAAAAGACAAACTAACTCCTCATTTTTAGCTGTTTTGCATCGAGTTGTGCTCGTTTTCTTTTCTTTTGTACATAATCCCCTTTAATTCTGATTGGACGCTCTCAGTTGTCATCATCAACTCCCTTTTTTTTTTTTTTGGCCTTCAACACAAGTTGGACAGATGGAGGGGCAAAAAAACCCAACTTCATGGCAGTGTTGAGGTTTTCACACTCCCTTTTAGTCATTGGAGCTCACTCAATCTCCAGATAAATAGAACTAAATTTCTTTTAAATGTTGTTTTCAGAAATTAAAAACAAATTGGATCTCTGCACACAAATGTTTGAAGTCTGACCCAAAAAAAAGAATTCTGTTGAAACATTTGCAGCAAAGAATTCAAACTTAAGACTTTCTTATATTCCAAAGGACTTATGTGTAACTTTTACATCTTTTTACCACCTTTTCTTGGTCATTTCTGTACATATGGCTGAGGGGGAAGTGTGACATATGACCTGGGTTCCTCTTCACTCTGTGGCTGCACATGTGCTCCACAGCTCTGAGTGGCTGCGGGCAGGCAGCGTGTGCTGAGGGAGGAGCCAAAGTTTGGAGGCTTGAAAGCGAGCAGCGTTTAGTTTGTAGTGGAGGAGGCTCGCCTCGATGCGCACAGAGGATGGACTTTACTTCACGGACACTCTAATGGACTCATCGCTCGACCTAACAGCGGATTTTAGTTGTTAACTTCGGCTCATTTATCGACAGGTTTTTCCAGAAGACTTTCAGCTGAGACCGGAGCTTTTGCGCGCCGCAGCTCGTGGATGGTGAGATCTTTACGCAGCTGCTCGCTCCTCTTTGGGTTCCACGTTAAACACCTTTACAAGAGATAAAATGCAGTGCAGCTGATTTTATTTTATTTTATTTTATTAGAAGGGGGGGAAAAATCTCTTTAGCCTGGAATAAATGCAATTTCTGAATATTCTGTTGAAGCAATTTATTCTAAGACGATGATCTTTAAAGCGCAAATGAGGGTTTTCTAACAAAATTGCTTTTACTGGAGGTGTTTCCTCTTACTATAGTCGATAAAAACAGATTTTAAATGTGTTTTTACATGCAGTTTGTGGTCTTGCTCACCTCAAAGCTGCCGTTTCCATCACAGATGCGCTTGATGGGACTCATGAAGGGTGCCATCGCTCCCAAACAAGATTATGATTTATAGATCAGATTGGAAACTAATTGCACTGGAGGTCTGGCAGTTATTTTCTGCACTGTTGTAAAAGAAAAAAACAAAAAGCAACAAGCTGCATGTAGGTGGGGGAGACAGCCTGATGGACTTGCCCCTCTGTTTTCTGTCTATCCATGTGGGTAAACAGCTGCTATTTGCATCCAGCCCAAAGAAACAACAAACCAGAAATAGGCCTGATGATCTGGCTCTGGTTTAATTTTCACCAGACTCTCCAGAAACATCTGAAAATGTTGCTGCTGCTAAGCCCTGAGTAAATCAGACATTTCTGTGAACACCATGAGGAACCTTTTTTTTTTTGGAAGGGAGACTTTACAGTTGCTTAATGACACCTTGCTTGGCTCCTCTCGTTCTTCTCCAAATAGTTGCCTCGTCTTATCTCTGCTGGCATGTTGTACAATGTGTTGACATACCTCCCATATCACTCCACATTTCAATGAGCCAAACGCAGCCCAACCTTCCATAAAACATCCCATTTTCTCTGTATTTGTCTTCAGCGAGGATTGCTTGTGAAGTCTGTGTTTTATTCTGAGCTGCTGGACCAAATCTGGTGGTTATGGATATGGTTATGGTTATGATGCATGTGAGAGCAGAGGGCTTTGAATGTTTAGATATGCTTTGTTGGAATCAAACTGCTGCCGCTGCGTGATACTGTATCAATAACACTGATACTCTTACTGTAAACTAAACTGAAGAAACCTTTTTCTCTGGAAGCATGTGCAAATGCATCACGATGCGTGCTTCACCCCATCCTCCCTTTTTCCTCTGAAACACACACACTTATGCACGCACAGACCCCCACCCACACATTCAAACACTCAAAACAAACACACAGTCTCCACCCAACACTCCACCCACTGTAACAACTTCAGAGGAATGGTCAGCATGTGGAGAGGTTGTGGTGAAGAGTTAGAGGGGAAGTGGAAACCGGTGGAGGGGAGACACTCTGCTGCTTTTAACCCCCAGAAGATTAGTGATATCCCATATAGTGTCCAGAGAGACTGGAATTTCTCAGTGCAGGCTGATGGGAACTTGTGTGTTCGGAGTCCCTGTGCAGCAGCACAATGCTGAGATGTGGGAAAACAGTCATTTTGCTGGGCTGCAGCCAGATTGCACCCAGGGACAGGACAGACATGAAGCCAGCCACGCTGCCGTTTCATCAGCTGTGCTGAGTTTGTGCAAAAGACTTCAAAAAGGGTTTGTTGTCCGTTCCAAATGGAAAGAACTGTGTGTAAAAATCCCATGTAGTTTTGTTTTCTCTGAGGTTTTGCTGCAGCTGAAACATTTAGCAGTGGAGGGGCCTCAGCTGGAGGAATCCACACGAATTCTTTTAGCGTTAATGCTCCCTAAACTGTGAAAAGTCACACTTTGCCTTTACACATTGGTGATAAGGTTTAATGGTTCGCATTCACTAAAACTTGGCTGAAGACCTGTTTGCTGACTGTCTCTGCTGTGTCCTTGCATAGCTTTGTTTGCAGTTGCAAGGCCATTCATGTCCAGTTTGGCCTGCAGGTACTGCTGCAGAAGAGCTGGCCAGGCCCTGCAGGGCTTTAGATGCTGGGCTCTGAATGCAGGTGATGCCTTTCTGAGAATATCCTGATGAACCTGAAAGTTTTTTTGACAAATGAGATTTCCTACATTTTCCTGTTGCGTGACACTTTGGCATTACTTTCACAAACGGGTCTGTTTTTGATTGTAAAAAACATGTGTTCCAACTGCATTTGTCATGCCCAGTCATCAGTGTTCACACAGCTTCAGAGTCTGGAACTGCACTTCAATGCTTATCAGTACTCAGCCACAGAATTACAACAGTCGTAATAGACGTACTGTATGTTTACACAACTGTGCTTTAGGGGTGGGACAAAATATTGATACAGCGATATATCAGATTACTTCCTTTTGGGATACACTATCGATACATTGACATCAAATGCTGATATTTTTATGGTCACATACAGGCACTCTAAGTGAGATTCCTACATCAAGTTTGGCATCCTGGATTCACTACATGCTCATGGTGGCACTTATTAAGTGAATGAGGGTAAAAGATGGTGAAGACGAAGAATCTCGGAGGGGAAAATAGCAGACAGTGGTGGAAAGCAAATCAGAGAATTGAATAATGATAATTACTACACACACTGACACCTCAATGCAGTAAATACACATATCATTCTTGCTTTTTTCCCCTTAAGGAGTATTATTTTTTCTTCTCACAACATATCGAGTGTCCAGAAATCATTGTATCGTGATATAATTGGTATTGTGTGCAATGCGTCATCGTATCATGAGTTACTCTGAGACTCCCACCCCTGCTCAGTTTCCAAGAAACAAATACACGGCATAATCTGGTTTGTGCGCTGTTTATCCTGAAGATTCGACGTTGCAGACAGTGTTGATTAAGTGATGTAACCTTAGAGCCTCCTTAAGTCATCATAATCCTGTAATATTTCAATAGCATCTCTATGGTGAGCTTATAGTTGGGAGCAGAGTTGCAGAACCAGACTGGATAAGACACAATGACCTATTCAGGTTTATTGTGAAGGAATGTTTCTGTCATTGTGTCTGTCTGACAAGTATTTAAGTTCCACAGACGTGGCCTCTGCAGCGACACGCAGGAAGGCTTAACTGAGGTGTCTGTCTTCGGACTGGAAACATGTTATGCAACATGTTCTTCTCCAGAGAGAAATTAATGTCTTCTCATTTTTCCCTCTCTTGTTTTGAAAGAAACGCAGAGAAAAAGATAAACTGTGACTTTGTAATGGAAAACAGACCTGCTATGTGCCTGGAATGTTTTCCTTTCAGAATCTGCTGATAACCGTATCTTGTGTTTCATTCGGGGGTGATATGGATACAGTTATTGTGTTTTTATTTTGCCTCCAGATTGTCTTGAGATGGAGTATTTACATGGGAAATTACTGAATAGTCTCCTATTATTTGGACTATGAAAACAAATAAGTTGTATCCCTGCATATGGCGGGAGGGTAAAGTTATCAGGCGTTTGCAATTAAAGAAAAAGTGTGCTGAGCTGGATAAACAGCCCATTTATTGAGGGGAACACTGCAGCTTTATTTCTTTCCAGACACAACTCTTAACGCTTCTGTTCCAACACTTTTACAAACTGTGTCTTGCTTCCATCTGTGCGTCCAGTTTTTCTTTGACTTGTCAGGAATCAAGTCGTTTCACGTGATCTCATATTAAGTGACAATCATGTATTGATTTAAGCATGTATCAGTAGAGAAAACTGGGTTAGATTAAGACTTGTGGGGAAATCATTGGTGGGGAAAGCTGGAGGGCAGAACACAGTGATGATTATGGGGCTACATAATGCACCATTTATTTCATGTCCATTGTGATGATTTAAAAAAAATGCAATTAATATGAGTTGCTTTTTTTCTATGTTTTAGGGGGTGTGCTGGTGCACACTCATTCATAGGCATGTGCAGGTAGCGACATTTAAACAGAGACTATACGATGCACATATTGTTTTGTAGCCCAAGTTGTATACATACTCTGTAGATTGGTGTCTACTTATTCCACATGCACACGAGCATTGTGGAGTCACAACAAATTGCAGGATGTCTGTAAAGATCCTCGCATACTTTCTCTGATGATGAAATTTGCTCTCTCTGGAGATCTCTCACAGACAGTACAAAACTAGCCTTACAGTCATACCAGTGGTGTCAAGCTATTTTACCGATCAACGGGTTGCTCCGCGCCAAGATTTGGGGCAAAACTGAAACAAAGGCAGTGAAGAAAATTATTTGAAATAATTAAAGCTCCCATATGGTGAAAATCTGTTTGTATTCTTGTAGTTGTGAATGAACTTGGACGTGGTAAATCCAAGCTGTTAAGTTATAATTATGTTTACATCTGCCATTCCTTAACCCTCCCACTGCTAGTTAGCATCGTAACTTCACAACGACTTTGACCAGGTTAGGATGTAACAACAAACTAACCAATAACCGTCCAGCTCTAACTGTGACCGTTTTTCCTAAAAGGCGCGGGACCAGTAACTGCTCAAACAGCCTGTCTTAAACAAACCACAGGTTTTATAGTCATGGTGAAATGAACTATCTAAGCAGTACTTTGAGCCAAAAAACACTAGAAGACGCACTGTGGGGGCACACGGGACTTTGATTAATTTGCTAAAAACGAGGCGCAATATAGGACCTGATATATGTCTTTGCACTTTTTCCGTCCAGAAAAAGGGCCCAAAGAACATCTTATTATTACTATTATTAATATTTTTTTCAGCCCTACTCCCCGCTGAGTCATTTCTGTTCAATCCCTTCATTATAAAAAAAATAGGTTCATTTTGTCTTCTATTGCAGTGGTTCTTTGGAAATCAATTCATCATAATGTTCAAAACCTTTCTAATCATTTCCAATTATTCCCCCTTCATAACTATTATAGATTAGACTGGAACACATTTATTATGACACCATTCCCTATCTGTCCCATGTGTAGGGGATATCAGCTACTATCAGCGGGAGCGTTGCCAGAAGGGACGACACTGTTGACTTATTACTTCCTTTATTGGCGGCGACCGCTCGCGAAGACAAAGACGGAGCCCATACCTGA